GTCCTACAAGAAAATTATAAGACTTATAAATCATAATATGATAATCTATTTTTACTTACCCGAGCTAGCCAATCGACTGCTGGTTGCTCCAAACATTTGATATGGATCTGAAATAATATGAAATATTCTCAGTTAATTATTAGTAATATTTTTTTAAACATATATTGTTCATTGAAAACGTATCATTATACATCTATTAACATTTGTAAACATGTTAATCAAATAATTAATAATAGATACACGATGGTTTAATATAAAAAATAATAGATGATGTCTTCTTAATTTATACTTTTTCTATTAAATTCAGTTTAAATAATAATTTTCAGTGAATTGATTTGTACAAAGGGGCTAAAAAAATATCCCGAGGGAACAATAAAATAGGGAGTATGTCGAATTGAATTGTTTGTGTACAGGGCGCGCAAACAAAACCACTACCAAAATGTCACTCTAGGCCTTAGGGTCTATAATGGGAGACAAGCTATTTAATGATTTTTCGTAAATAATGGACATGAAATGTACATTGTACACTTTATTCATATAATATGTCCACAGTAGTTAAATCACCTGAATCGTAATACTTTAAGTTGCAAATGCATATTAAGATTTAAGACTATTAATAATCCATAACACATAGAAACTAAACTCAATCTAAATACATATTAATATGTTATATATTTATATACGTATATGTTATATTTGAAATACCGAATATTAGTACATATGTGGTATGTATAAAAAGTGGGGAAGTCGGTCTGATGTGTAATAGGTTTCGAGCGTACCTCGTCAATCGTCACTGTAATAGATGTGTTCAATTTGAATTCAATAATAAAACAGTGCACACGAAAAATGATTCTGAACAACGTTGTATCAACCTTAAATCAGACACCTATTATTATAATTTTTAAATATTACTATTGTTGGTATAGTATACCAGTATGCGGTACCTAAGTTGATATATTTTTCCCCAAAATAAAACAGCTTATTATAGGTAATATTACTATTACGAACTTATTTTCATAAAATAATAATATTTTTTATAGCAGAATAAATTCCAATTATATTTTAAATGAAATAGCTACATGGGTATTTAAGAAAAATAATAACATATAAATCAGGTTGCATGTATACACGAATCGTATACAATAAAAGTTAAAGATAAAAAATTTAAATTAATGAATATAAGAAGAACAATCATTTACTGAAGTGTAAAATAAATCTACATTATTGTGTATTTACATTGAAGTTTGGCACTTTAACATAAATATTATTTAGAAAAAGTGGTACTTTTTTAATTTTTAATCAAATATAGATAAATTGTTTTAGTTAATCATTTCTAAATAAAGGTTATATATTTTAATGAACTGTATTGTTTTAAGGAAATAATTAACTCTTAATAATACTATGAAATTTAAATAAAATAATTATAACGTAAGTAATAAGAGATTTATAATTTCAAAAATTAATTAAACTTTTTTMTATTAAGAAAGAAAAAATTTAACTTTGTCTTTAATCATGCGATTCTTAGCAAAATAATAACTTCGTAAAAGTTATATTATTTTATGATATATATTTTGGCTCTCACTTCGCTGGGTTAATTTATAAACTGCTGCTTCTGTAAAATGTTGACGTAGTGGCCGGAATTGTGTTTTTTCCCCGGGGTTCGTCTAATAACTTTGTCACGGAGGGAAGTGTAAAAAAAAAGGGTCAGTGAGTAAATAACTGTGACTTGTTATTCTTTCAGGTTGACTTGATAAGCGACGTTTAGGTTGCATTTTAAACGTGATACTTTTCGGCAGGGTCTGACATCTGAGTGCTTACAAAAACGCTTTAGCAGTTCCATTATCGGCACGTGGACTCGTGTACGGCCGTCTGAACTGATTGACAGCTTAAAGGGATCGCGGGGGATAAGGTACGTATAGCATAGGGGAAAAAGGACGATCGTTCTTCTCTTTCGGTCCATAACTTGTACGTCAAGTACCACCTCTCTATAACCGCAGCCAAAGTTCATTATTCTGCCCAACCCTTTTAAACATATTTTTTCCCTCTAACGGTTAAGAAATATTTTTTTTGAATGTTCGACCCTCACTGCATCTAGTTTAGTAGCGTCTCTACTGTATAAGCCGATTTCTGAAGTGGGAGGGGGTGAACTCATATCATATATGATGATTGTAATATAGTATACATAATTATTTTCTAATACGGGACGACAAAATATTCCGTCTTTATTCATCAATAATAATTAGTGGAATAGTTGAATCGTGAGAAGACTCAAACTTTGGTCGATATTATGACTTTAGTGTCTATATCAAGACAAATTTCAAATTAAAAAAAAAAAACCATAATTAAAATCATATTTTAAAACGTGAAAAAACAAGGCATATATACCCTGAAAAAAAAAGATGGAATTCGTGTATTCCGCCGAGTTATGAACAGTGGTGGGATTAAAAAACGTCGCTCAGACTTTGGAAGTTATGGTCAATTGAAGTTTATATATCCTTTATCRCGGTAATCACATTTAGTCTGTGGTTGGGCGGGTTGCACATGCACATACATTTTATAACTATAGGACAACAGACATGAAGCCGAGTTCACAGCTGCGTCGTCTGCTGTGTGGTGCATCTTTTATCATTTACTGGTTGGTCATTGTAACTGTGGTATCATTAACTAACCACGGTATATACTGGGAAATTTGCTGAGTAAGGTCGATTTAAATTTTTTTGGACACGAAATGGCACATTACGACACAATGTTATCTGTGGACTCGGTTCCATACCGATACCACAAACATATTAACTACTATATTTGTTGCTATTTTTTACGTACCTACAAAAACCTACAAAAACCTACTAAAAAACCGTACGTTTTTTGCATAATATGTAGAGTTATATATAAGATCAAAACCACGCGGTACAGTCAGATCTTTCCATCAGTTGAATATGACTATCTATATTAATYGTTCTCTACGTCTATGCCGGATTCGGTTGCAAGACCCAAATGGCAATAACAACACGTGTGGCACGCGAGCCAAAAGTGGCACGTGAAAAAAAATAAAATTGTGAATACTTATTACGCTATTCAAAAAAGTCAAAGAAACAAATTATATGTATGCATTAAAAAAATTATCATATGTTCCTATAATGTAAAATTGRTTATGATGTTATTAATAAATTATCACTATATTTTTTATGTTCTATTTGTTAGTGTTTACAAACTTTGCAGGGCACGTGGAAAATTGTCAAACCCTTGATTGGAATATTTGGCTCTTAATCCAAAAAAGGTTCGGCACCCCTGTACGGCTATAAGTTCGAAATAAAGTTCTGAGTAACAGTACGAGTATATAGAAAAATAATATAATACCCAATGCTGCGTGTGCTGCAAGAGGGCTAGAAAACGAAACGAACAATATTAAAAAATCGTAATTTATTCCGTTTAGAGCTGTTGCGGGTGTAGAAATCGCGACAAAATCTGACCCCGACGACAAGTAGGTATAAAAGCGTCGCTTGTCGGCTGCATGTCTTTAAATCGGTGTAAAAAATCTGGAAGTCACCGCTGTCACGGTATATAAAAAACGATACAGAAACTTAATAAACCACGCGTATATATATATATCATATTATCAAAACAACGATATCATAATAATACGATCGGCGGCGAGGGCGACACGGTCGGTTGGACATGGCTGTCGTCGTCGTCGTCGTAATCCCACGGGATGGATTTCGGGTTCGAGTTAAACGCCGCGCCGCCTGTTGTGTGCGCGAGTATACCGGCCACTCTTGTTCACGGTCACTTGTTGGGGCGTTTGGCAGCCGCAGTTGTCAGCGGCGGCGGCGGTACACTAGCGAAATCCGCCCACCCAATATATATTATTATTATTATTAACTGCAGTACGAGAAAAAGCTGCCGCTTCGCCGTGTMTGCAGCGTTTGCGATTACGCACGGCCGGAGGAGTTTAATTTTAATTATAACCGCCGCCGCCCTCCATTATTGTTATAATCCCATGCACACTCCACTTGTTCGATTTATATCATAACAATAATATCGCCAACGACACTTTTAGTCGACTAGCACACTATAGTCGTCGCGCCAGCACGACTATGTATTGTTGTGCGCGCTGCACTAATGGAACCGAATAACGCGCGTAACACATTTCCAACGAGATTCCGACGATAACCGTTTTGTACAAAATATTATAACCAGCAGAGTGCTTTTTATTTTTCAATGTTTTTTTTAAACTTACAATTGTTCGTTACTATAATATTGTATAGATATACTTCTTTTATGAGCTTTTCAAGTCGAATACCTATATGTATATAATAATAATAACATGTAATGAACTGACCTGTGTAGGTCGTGTAATTATCATAATATACATTTTCCGAACAACATCAAGGTTGGTGGAGGAGGAATGGGGGGGGGGGGGTGTTTCAAAATTGTACGATTAGGTTTTACGTTTTCGTATTTAAATGTGTTCAATGTTTTATCCGGTACATAATATTACATTTTCTTTATTATTTATAAATATATCTCACTCGCAGTACCTACTATATTCCTATATATTCACGTCCGCAGATATTAATAATAATAGAACGGTCACCGCAGAACGAACCTAATTTGGAGAGTTATTTTTGTAGTTTTTTATCTGGACTTAAATGGAATTTCGGATTTTAATAGATTTAAAACTTAAAATTTGAATGCTACGTTTATTTCCTATGTACTTAGTTTTTCCCAAAGTATATAGAAAGTATTGAATAACATCGTTCCTACCTATACCTACTGATTTAAAGTTTTAATCTAGTAATTTTGTTTCTATGATTAATTTTATGTTATTTTTCCAAACTAAMTTATTATACTTAAATATAGTTTAAGCATTAAGTGTTTAAATATTATGACATACTGTGTAGACTATAGACCATTCATATTATCGTACTTGTTATTATTTTTACATTTTAAATATAATTTTTTTCTCGAATCTTTGAACGATWATATTTGATGAAGTTAAACTGTTAAACTACACAGATTTTATCATTCTTTGTGTCGTATAATTATTTACCCAACATAAACGAAATATGCGCTGTTTGCACTGTCTGATTTGTTGRATATGAATGTGAAAATAAAATGTCATATTAAAATTGTCTTAAAAAAATGTATGAGCGTATTTTATCTTCATGTTTTGGTTGAATTTTCATAATATTATATGAAACGCACCAGTCTACCCCAGCCATTTACCAGCTTTTACAGTTGGACGCTTTTACAAAGGTGACGGGACAGCCTAGGGCGGTGTTAGTAATGCGGTCGGTGGTATATAACAAACAAGCCTTTGATGTGTCTAATCAAAACTCATTGAACCGTTGTGCCTGTGGCCTTTGACGGTGGTCGAATAACAAGAGATTATAATAGAATTAGATGTCCACGTTCGGTTTGTTTTATAACACACAAAAAACCACCCCGAGGTATTTATAGTTAATAGAGCTTCCATTTTATTTTTCGTCTGACAAGAGATGAAGATAATTATTATGTGATTCACTATGTCTGCGTAGAGACTTTTATTGATATGATGTCTATATGTATGCATAAAATATTTCATTATCAAACAGTATAATATTATTATTTACTAGGAATCATAGTATTTATAATAATTGATGGTCTACGGATATCTTGCAGTTTAGACATTTTCTTTTAGATTCTGAGCGGAGCGATAAATGTATTGATTTTACCATGATGTGTGTTTTTATTTTTTATTTTTTGTGTCTGTCATCACGTTTTGGSGCAGTAAAAATGCTTCGATTTTTACTTCAGTACCTCGTTCGATCAGAAAGTGAATCTAGTTGGTACTTTGGGGGGTCAAAAGTGAAAAATTCTTAATGCTTTTCTAAATAATCGAGAAAAACAAACTAAACATTTTGGTTTTTGATGTAACTTTAAAACGAATGACCATAGATACATGAAATTTT